CAGATTTTAGATCACTGTCAATTGTCAGATTATTGGTTGAGAGCACATTACCGGACACTAGGGGTCTCTTCTGCATGTGATTGTGGCAAACATTTTTTTCCATCTTGTGTGGAACTTTCGTATAGTTTTCGTCATTATTTTGCCTATCTTTGATATTTTAAGATGATATATCCGGATAAATTAATCCAAGCCATAATTGAATTACATCGTAGTTTGAAGTTTTCGAAGTGTGTTTCTCCCATAATTTTCGTTAGATTGGGAGACAGGAACAGAAAAAAGACGACGTCGAATCATTGAAGTCGGAGATATAAATGCATTGTGATCAGAGATTCTGGCATTGCAAACTAAACAAAGAAGGAAAGTTGAATGTCACAATTAACAAAATAATTCCTGTTAACATTGAAATCTAATTATCCCGTAGCTAATTGTATATTTGTTGCACTACCCGTCGATTAATCGAATTGATCGATACAAGCGATAGTATAAATACGTTGAACAATGGTGAAAAGACGGATGTGCTATGGCGCATCGTATCCGACTTCAGCCAATGAGATTGAGGCACCCGTTTGCGTCACAATATTAGCAGGAATTTTAATTGCTGCCATATACCAAACTTATCACCTTGTTACAAGTCATTGAAACAGATATATGAATAACTTTTTCTCGAATATTCCATCATTTAATTCAATTATACCTTCATTGTGTTATTTTTGGTTGGTTACGTTTCAAAATTGTCACTTTATGCCACTTTCAAAACGCTTCTTAACACTTCTCCATGCAACATGACGGCCAACGCCTGGTCTGGCTTTCCACACGAAGTGCCCGTATTGTGGTCATGTGGGTCGTGACGTGAACTGGTGCTGCGCAGAACGAGTAAAAATCAGTGCGCTGGACTAGCTAAACCGTGTCTTTTCACCAGTTGCTGAACCAAAGAAGGGTAAAAATATATTTTGAAAGACAGACACAAATTAATATCGATTGAAACGATTTACAATTTGACATATATACTGACAAAAATGTAAAGATATGAACACTTATTTGCTATTTATGGGTTTTTAAATTATTACTCAGGGGGATATAATGAATTTTTAATCGCCTTTGTTCATAATTTTCAGACAATACATGAACACCGCAAAAAATAGTTAAAACATAGTAATAATACTTTATGTTTAAATAGGTATGTACGAATTTCTTATTAATGTCTGTAAAAATGTCCATCATTAATAAAAATAAATTGATTGGTTGTCCCTTATGACTATATCAAATGATAATACCAAGAATAGCGAAACTCGACAACTTACTAGAAAAAAAATCTTGGCGTCTCTCACCTCTGGAGGCGTGGCGAAGCCATCTCCACCACTCCCAGGGGGAAGCTTAGTTGAACCTAAGGAGCGCCTGTAAAGATAACTGATTCGCTCTAGCAACTTCGTTCTCGCGATCTTGACGGCGACGCTGCTGTCATTCTCGCTTACACAAGAGAGTCATCGTTTGTCATTGCTTGCCTTTCCTGGCCTTCGCAGTTGATCCCGAAACGCCTGCCGCATTACTAGTCATTTTTACCACGTTCGTATTTGTTATGGAAAATCGTATAGTGTATACAATTTTCACACGCCGAAAGTATTGTGTCGCTCGATACACAATCTCACAAGCCTGGCCTCTCCACGGTCGCCCTGATACACTCACGGATGTTGAAGTCGAAGCCACAACAACAGAAATGTAAAAACTTGAAAATTTCGCAAAGCAACAAATCGGAAATCCACACCTTGACACAGCAGGAAGCGTTCACACACTTCTTTTCAAGCGAGAAAAATTCCAAAACAAGAGCCCTTTTTGGCAAATGTACTACGTGAGGAGAAAAAAAAGAATATTATTTCTCTCGACATGACATTTCTCACACCGAAAAGCCGTTCGCCATGGCAGGATAAACAGAGATACCAACCTTTAACGCTCTAGTCAGGGGCAGTCAAGGTCAGGCTGCCTCGCCTCCATCCGCCCAGGCCGAGGCGGCGGCGGCTCAGGCGGGGAAGTTGGGCCGCGTAGCGAGGGAACCCTCCCATCCGCCACTTTTCGCGCATGCGCAGTCCACTTCTTTTTCTAAATTGTAGAACTATAGTAGAGAAAACAATGGAAATGAGAAAGATTCGGCAACAGTGGTTTATCCCTTTAGTCCAAGGATTCCCAACCTTTTTCGTCCATCGACGCGTTTTACAAGAATTATTGACTTCATTGACCCCCTTACGTTATTCAACTTACCATTCATAATCATAACACAAAGAATGTCATTTAAATGTCTTAAAGATAACAATTTCGAACACCCATATTTTGGAAAATATCTAGTTTTACATTAATCGAATACTCTTCCGCTTTTTAGTAGCTGAGTTTCCAAATTTCGTTGTTGTCAATGGTTTCAAAATGTTGAGCAGTTTTTCCTCTCCATAACGTTTCTCAAGTGCATATTGCAACGAGTATTTTCTTCCGCGATTGAACATCGTTGTCATTCCATAGTTATAATGTATTGAGTTTTTTAAACACTCTAAGCAGTTGAATAGCGAGGTTCTAGGCTGACTGCAGAAAATTGAATGGGGCCCAGTATCTGCAATAAACATGGAATTAAGAGTGTTAAATATAATTGGTATGGCTGGTACAATGCAGAAAATAAGCATGGAGTGCAATTTGTTTTATTCTTTACTGATATCCGTCGCACTCGGTGCATCTCCCTCGGGGATGGGTACGCGGAGTGCAGCCAAGCGGATGACAGCAGTACCTTTCGATACCAATAGGTATGTTATGTTAGAATGTTTCACAAACTCATGTTATTATTAATTAAAATGGAATTAGTAATGAAATTAATAAAAATTTAAAAAAAATAGGAAGACTATGATTTTAAAAGAAGAGCTGCAAAACGAAGTTACGATGTGAGATTTTTCATATTTGCCTTTCTGTTATACCTCAAATTGGGTAGAGGCATGCATTGAGAATCTCTTCAATCACATCAGGTAAGAATTTGAATTGAATAACAAAAGAAGAAACAAAATGTAAATATATTTATTTACCTTGAACACAATTTTTAGAAACAACTTATCGTGTTCACCGAAAATGCACTCAAGCAGAGAGGTTTCACAAAATGTTTTAAGAAGTTGCTTCACAATTAAAGATCGCCGAAACATATATTCGCCACTCAAGCGTAGAAGACGTTTCACAAGAGATTATAGATGAAACCACTCACCTCCATCCTAAGCTAGTAGTTCAAGATATTTCTGACACATATCCACTTCGTATGGAGCAATACGTCATATTAACGCATACAGTACTCTTCACAATATTCATATTACGTACCAATTCATTTGAAGGAGTACTTCGTTTTAAGTGTGTATATCCTATTCAGTCACTGTCTTCTGTGTAAATAATTTACGTAATTTGGACCGTTTATTCAGGCGGCTTACTGCCTGTCCTTTTACTCCACAAAATGTGGGTGTTTTCAATAAATCTTTGTAATATGGAAGTTAATCCTCTATTAATACATAAATGCTATCCTACATTTTCATCACAACCCAGGGTCAAATGTAAATGAGCTGATGTGAGCTACAGAGATAATAATAAATTTGTGACCTTAGGCAGTAGTTTATTACTTACTGCAGCCTCCAGTGTGCTAGCTTTGACCCACAGACACACGTTTTGCCGTCAACCAAATTTTTGACATCTAGTTCTCATAAACCGTGAATTCTGACTACATGGCGTGTTAGAGGAAGTAATTTACTACTTACAGAAACAAGAACTTCCTGGTTTTTAATATTAGGGCTCTACAATACAAGTTTTCTTCGAAACATCGCCACTTACCACTGCAACATTATATTACTTTATCTGAATTACATATGTAGTGCGCAGTACGTCGAAAAATTTTAAACCAACTTTGGCAACAATAAATCCTGTTAGAAATCGCCCAAAAAAACAAATTTAAATAAACAAATATAAGTGTTCGAAAGTGGCATTCAAAATGAAAATCTTGAACTACAAAGAAAGAAAACTAATAGAAAAATCTGGAAAATTGTTCAGAAGACGAATATTCTTTCAATAGAATTATGGGACTTAAAGAGGAAGAATGTTATAATGTTTGCTTCATTATGTGACTACCACAGCTCTGTTAGTTATTGAATTCTCAATGAAGTTTAAAAAATTGATTCGCCACAGATTCTTCAGTAATCTCAGTAGAGTGATATGATAATCATTACACTGCTGTTGCGCCAGCAGTAAAAACATAGATTTAATTAGCTCATACTTCGAGTGATACTTTAATTCTTGAACTAGGAGAATTCTAACGGCCGGCTGCTCTGATTAGAATTTTTCCAGATATCTACACGCGATCACAAACGCGAATGCCGGAGCAGTACCTTGAGCTGTGGAGTAAGAAACGGGCAACGGACGGTGATTGATCTTTCCTTCCCCTTCCGAGCCATACCCTCACCCCACACTTAAGCATACTAACACATACATGCACAACACTATCACATATGCAGACAGACCAGTCTGGAGCTTAGAGCTTGCCCCAACTGGGGGCGGTGCCCTGCTGGTGGGATGTATCTGGTTGGGGAAAATCAGGGAAGCGGACGGCTAGGTTGGGGCCGGATCACATGTTCCAGCGAGGGAAGATCGCCGCCACCTCCAGCGATACAACATGCACTACCCTTATGGGACTAATGACCTTAGCAGTTGACGCGCCCGGAATCACTTAATAAGTTCTTGAACAAATCTAATTTTGTTCTGTTTTGTTATTGGTGGAATCAGTTTTTAATGTTGAAGCCACTGGGGGTGTGGTAGTTCCACCAGTGGGGTTAGGCATAACACCCCAAAGGGGGCGGCTGGGGGACTGGGCGGCGGGGCGTGGAGTGCGTGCTAAAGCGCAGGCGCGGAGGCCGCGAGAGCGTGAGGCGGAGCACGCAGCGAGCAAGCGCGTGTGATCCCGCGGGCGCAGCCTCTTGGCGCAGCGCGGCCCGTGACATCAGCACTCCGCGGCGGCGGCGGCGTGGGCGGACGCGGGCGCGGGCGGGCGCGGGCAGGCGCGGGCGGGCGTGGCGGAGGCTCCACTGACCCCAGAGACGCACCAGCATCCACTTCCACATCCACAGCGCCTGCGAGCGCGCGCGGTCGGGTGCTCCCGCGCAGCCCACGAGGGGCCCGAAGCGTCGTCGGGGCCTGGTGCGCCAGCTGTGGCGGCGCCGGCGACTTCGGTGCTGTGGCGTCGTCGTTGGCACCGACTGCAGCTTTCCATTTCGACCTATAAAGTTGCGTTGAGTTTTTGCTTCGTGCTGGAAGACGTCTTCTGAATGTGCCGTGCGGATCCTCTGCTTCACCTGCCGTAACACTGGACGCCGCTTGTTTTCTTAAGGACCATTTCCAGTGCGCTGGAATTGCAGATTCGCTGAGCGCGACTGACGCAACATCGGACGCCTTCGCAATCTACTCTCTGGCTCCATGTGGTTCCAGCGCTGCGGAAAATAAGGAGCATAAACGCAGATGCCTTCTTCGGTAGGTATGATAGGGTTGCATGGTTGACCCGTAACTGTTGCTGAATGGCAGCAGTTCGACAAAATCACAGGACAAATGAGGCTTGTTATCAGTAAATATGGAAATTTAACTAATGATTCTCTTAATTTTCTGCACGGATCATCATACTTATTCGACGTCAGGTACCTGTTGAGCTAACAATCTGAGGTGGTATTTTTATATCAGTGGTGACAATGTGAATCATGCGCAAGTTTCAAAACGAAATGAGAATAAAAAGCAAATTGTTAAACCAACTTTCCCTGATTTTATGGATCAAGTACTCAGAATGTTGCATGTGATCAATGCTCTTATCTTGGAATGCTCTTATTCCTTGTATTAACGAAAAAACTCAAAACCCAAGCGTTAAAAACATTTGCCAACGCCTAACACTACTTGAGTATTGGAGCGCTACATAAATAATACGATGGCGTGAAAATCTTCAAAATTATTTACGATATCTTGATAATTTTATTTTACTTTTGAGCGCTCACATTGTATATACTTTTGATATTTCAACACATTGAAGAATAACCGATTCTAAGCATATAGTCAAAAAATAAGTGCATTAGTCCAAAGAATCTTGTTCATGTTTCGCTATATCGTCTTTAACTGAATGATTCACATTGCATCACTTATTCCTGCATATTCTTGAATTCGTAGCACGTTTTATTAACGTAGAAGATGAATTTTCGCTACTGTGCATTTGTCAAGCTATCTGGCAAACAGTACTCTGCGTTTGTGTATTTTTAATTCGATGTTTTGCGATTATACCCATGTTATTCTTCCCCGCAGAGAATTTTTCAATGAAAGTAAAAATATTTGGAACGAATAAGTTACCTCAAATATCTAGAATTATTTAAAAAAATCTTTTATTCATTTCAATTATGTCCAAAAAATCTTTTAAACTTTTGATTTTACTTTTCATCTTTTTTTAAGAGAGAATACATATGCCGTTCCATGACGCATTTTCTGTCGCTTTCGATTATAAGTGCTTTAGTAAGAGTCAAGGTTTAACATTAATCATCGATAGGAGGATTAGAATAAAATGAGGGGACATTCTTCTAACATAGTGGTCACTATTGTTATTGTTGTTTTGATATATTCATTGCAAATCAACCGTCGTAGCGCAAATGGCCGAGATGTTTGCAATTAAAGTTTTAGGAATGAAGAGGATCTGATTTCGAAAGCAGGCGGTCAATGGTTTTCGAGCACAACAGCAGAATTGAACTTAATCAATATTCAGAGGTTAATTGTGATCGGACTACGAGTATTTCCATAGTTCCCTCTGAATGTTTCCAGTGGCACGGCACAATGGCGCGGTACAACGGCTGCGGAGCACGTGCACTCCTTTCGCCTTCATTCCTTTCCCACTGTCATTTTCAGAAGCAAACTGTGAACCGCCTCAACCCACTCCCTCTTCTCTCCCATGAAAGATTATCTCTTCAGCAGGTGCGAGTGCGGATGCGAGTTGACAATTTTCTCCAGGGAGACGTGCATGAATTTACAAAGCAAGTTAACAGGTGACATAACGAAACCGGTGTTTAATTTGTTTTTGCTTAAAAACTGTGGATGTTCCGTGAAAAAATATACCTATGTGGCCACTGACTATTTCACTAATTTGTACATTTCAATGGGTAGAAATCATAAGTGAGACACCTAGAAATGGATAAGTTGGGTCTCTGGCCGGGATAAATTAATACTTTTCGAGAAGAGGATGTCAGACTCTCAGGGAAGCGCCCCCAATTTTTCGCACCCTCTCTTCGACATGGATATTCGGGTGAATGGAGATTCCTGACATCAGCTCAGTAAATCACATAATATAAAGAAGAGAGAAATGTGAATTCTAGGTTTAAATAGACAGCAATACTCAAGGTGAAAATCCAAAAATTAAAATTCAATTTTTAATAAAGTAGAATAATTATATTTTAGATAGATGTAATTTATTATTCAGGGAAATTATAAAGCTTTGACATTTACTGCACCGGATTACAGAAAAAAGTTCTTGTACTGTCAAAATAACAAACATTCGTTTCAAAACGTCTGTCATTAACAGCACACATGGTATTCCGTATTGAATTAAATAGGATTTGGAAGGTACGAAAGGATGTGACTTTAAAATAGCTTATATTTGTGACCGTCTATCAAATAATTTCGAATAATAAAAAAAATATTTTCAATTGCTGTCTATAATAAACAGATATTATAATCCATAGTAGGATGGGACTTTAATTGTTATTAGGATAAATAGCATCAGTATATATGATTTTGAAAAGACTTTCGCAATTATAATATTTGCATACATGATCAGCCACGTCTCCACTTTTACATTGTCATATTCTTAATGATGTTCTTCGCGCATCACAAGTGATGGTTGTGCGACTAAACTACCAGGGTGCAATAAAAAAATAGTTGAATGAAAATAGCTCGTACTTTCTTGCATTATTTGTAATAAATACGCAATATCATATGAATTTGCAAAAGTGTTACCATCCCAAAAGTTTTACCTGCATTGGGATTCGAACACAGGACCTTACAGTTTACACGTCATCCAGGCGTCCCCACATCACCAAAGGCCCAACCTCCCTGACGCTTAAAAAGAAGTTGAAAACCTTGAATTTGTATTTTTTTAAAATGTAGATTTTCATTTACATTATTTAAAGATATAGTTTTAAAGAACAGATTTAAATAAGGAAAAGTATTACCAATATAGTAGTTCAGTAATGTTAATTTTTTGTTTACAATTTTCAAAACTACAGAGTGCACACCGAAGATGGAATCTGCGCCATTTTGTAAGCCTCTTTTACGCCACCAGTGAAAATGGTTTAATCAAACAATATGAAGACATTTTTGAGGACATATTCAAAATGTTATTGAAGTATCATGTAAAGTATGCACAAAAATTAAAATATCCACCGGCTGAGTTTCATTCAGAGCCAACATTACCGCTGACTCGGCAGCAACTCTGACCGGGACGCCCTAGGGTTCGGGTTCCAACGGGGGTGAATTTTCGACCCTAGGTAGATGAAATTCAGCTGCTGTCTGAAGGAGCCGGCCGGCTACTCTCATCGGTAGTTTTCTGTGGCTTCTTCAAAAAATACCAGGCGAATGCCGGAGCAGTATCCTAATACACCACGCGCGATATTTACTTTCTCATCCTTGATCCCCCTCTCCTCTTACAAATACACACTTACATGCACTATGCCACTATGCATGTCGGGATACCAATAATGAGCTTTGAGCGTATCCCAGCCTAATGATGCCCCACCCTAGTGATGCCCCACTGGGGAAATATTTGAGGAGGAAATATCCCGTAGGCCGACTTGAATGTCGGCGCCGGATCTCGCTATGCAGTCGGAGATGAACACAGACACCTCCTACGAAAAACACTCCCTACACTAACGGAACCATAACAGTTGACTTGACCGCAAACATCAGCCAATCAATCAAAATAACCGTTTCACACTCACAGGGCCTTGAGTTCGTCTAGATCAGGGTTGCCCAAGTGGCGGCCCGCGGGCTGCATGCGGTTCGGGCTGTGCCAATTATTGTGGCCCGCAAAGTGTAATTAGAAAAAAGGGAAAGTCCCTTGCTTGAGATCCATGTTGCCTGAGAACATTGTGTGCTTGTAGCACGCGACCTATCGACGTCATATCCCCTTAATGTGAAAATAGCTTATATTTAGATTCAAGGATTTTTTCAAGTAAATTTGAAATATTCAAAAATCATCCGAATGTTTTACTCTGCGTTATGCATAGTACGGCCTGATATCACGCGCAGATCTAATCCCCCTCCCCCCCGTTTCAACGCAGCCGGGCAAAGTGCCGAGTTCATCAATACGGAGAAGGCAGGTCTGGGTCACTCGAGTAATGAAAATATGGGCCCCAACCGTATAATTGGTTATAGTTGTAGCCTTTGACGCCTTGCAAGTTGGGCACCCCTGGCCTAGATTGATGAGGAAATATCAGTTTTGGAGAAAATCTTCTGAGTCGTTTAGATACTAGAGATGGCCACAGACAAAAGACAGACGTTTTACAGTCAACCAATTTTTCGGTATCAAGTTTTCACAAAACGTGATTCAAATTCCCAATGTGCTAGAGAAAATAATTTACTATATACATTTAGTACCATCAACATTTACACAAATTTTAGATACCAGAGTCCCACAATACCAGTCTTTCTGATGAAAAATCGCCGATTTCTGACTCAGCATAACAATACTTTCTCTTTCCTACGTACGCAGTAAGGCGAGAAGTAAAAGATACTCTGTGAAAGACATGATCAATGTGTGTACAGGGTTACTCAAGGTCAGCACAAAAGATCTTTCATGGACATTACGTTACATCATTACTATTAAAATCAGTTGTCTTGTTACGCAGCATTTGTGATACTGCAGACCATTTGTCAACTTTTGAAGTAGTTGTTCTACCCGCGCTCCTAGCACGTTTTTGCAAACAATAGAACTGCAAAAACTGCACTTCATTGTTATTTCTTCAAATAATAATGTTGCATGAAAACTCAAAGATGAAATTTAAATTTATAAGATAAAACACGAAGTAAAGTAGGGTAACGTGGGGCAAGAGCCCGCATTTTTTGTAAAAAAAAAAAATGAATATCCACTCGTGTAATTGGTATATTGATTCGGTTTTAACACAGCTGTGATTAATGTATAAATATTAAAGTGACCAAACAAGGATGGCGTATCTTTAAATTTGATGTCTAAAAAAATATCAAATTAAGAAGTGCAGTGTTAAGACGTTTGCCCATGCGGGGTAAAAGGCCCAAACAAAAGGGGCAAAAGTCCGAATATACAAAATATCTAACCTTCCTTAGAAATAAATTAATAATGCTTTCAACACTCATATGCATTAAATTAATGTAATATCAATTTTAGGGGTAAATGATTAATCGTGATACGTAGATTCTGAAAGGCTATAAGTTTCCAATTGTAAATTATACTCTGATAAAAAGTTCTCATAAAAAAA